CACAGCATATTCAAGATGTGTTCTTACCAGTGATTTATAAAGAGGTAAATTTCTATTCTAGTTCCGAGAATTAATGCCCCTTTTTATACATGGCAATACCTTTCTGACCTTAGCCACAGCTGATTGACATTGCACATTGTTGCCTAGTTTTTGTCTATAGCAATTCTCAAATCCTTCTTGTGTTATCTATAGTTCACTACCATTCAGGCTACAAGTTGTTTGTGCATTTCTCTACATTAACTTTCATCTGCCATTTGAGTGCCCAGTCCCCCAGTCTATGTTCTTGCAGCAGGGTGCTCCAAAGAGTGTGGACCAATGTCCCTTACAGAATATAGTAGTAAAAAGTGGACTGAGCACACCTGAAGGTTTCTTTGATAGGCAGTCTTTATTTGGAGTGCAGAATAAAATACAACATTTTGGCTCTCCTTGACAAAGGCTCAGGTGAGTTGAAACATTGTATTTTATTCCACACACCAAATAAATACTGCCTATCAGAGAAACCTCCAGGTGTGTATAGACCACTTTTTCACAACTATGACAGTAGTAGTCACTGACAGTGACAGATTGATGTCTTTTTTTTTTTTTTTTTTTTTACTTGTCATTTAAAAGTATTGGTGTTGAACTTGGTATGTTTTGCTTTTTAGCTTTCTGTCATCTTTTGAGACATATTCATGGCTAATTTAATTTAACATTTTTCTTTCAAGATACAGCTAATAAAGTGTATAGATATTTCCCTTTGTTCATATACCTATGGCTTGGGTGACTTAAAATTCTGCATATTGCACAGAAGAATAAAAAAAACCTTTTGTTTTCTGCGGCCATATAATTATAGTGCAGCATTGCAAATAAATCTTGACAAATATGCTCCCTTTGGCCTAGTTTTGCAAATTAGTTTTAAAGTCACCAAAATTATCAGCGTGTTGAATAGAAACCAGTGTTTGTCAAATTAATGTATATTCATTTTTTAACAACAATCTCAGAAAAAAATGGAATTTGGTCACCTTCACTATAATGTGAGACTTTATACAATTTGACATTCATCTTTATGATAACAAAAAAATATTAAGAAAGGGTTAATAGACAACCAATTACTCTAAAGAGATACAGCTGTAACTAATGGAAGACTATTTCAATCTATGTATGTAGAGTATTACACAGGGGACTTTGCTGTCGGAAATGCTATTAGTCTATTTTCTGCTCAAAATATTTACATTCTCATTAACATTTTTTAAGATTCATATTTTTATGTTTGCAAATACTGTCAGATAGTTTTGTGTGATGTTTTTGAGTAAAATGTAATTATTTACTATAGATATTATTTAATAAAAATGTGCGCCTGAGTTATATCTCGTGGTATGTTTACAAAAAACATATAGCCAATAATGATTTTGCATGTAAGAAGATTTGCATTTGAAATTAATCATTATCTTTACATAAATTGATTTAATTTAGAACAAATGTCCAAAATTGAAATACGCACTAACTATAAACATTCAAACAATAAGCACACACCTCCCCCCCCCACACCAGCATTTGCCTCCCTTATGCAGCTAAATATGGTAAAATCGTACCTTTATTTCAGTCTGCTAGTGCTGATCTGCCTCCTTGTTCTGCCTCCTTGGCTGGCATCATCAGAAGTGGTAATCTCAGCCAAACTAATGCTTTCTTATAGGAAAGCATTGGAATTGAATGAGGTTGTCAAGGAGGCAGATCAGGGGCAGAGCCAGCATAAGCCAAACACAGGCCTGGCCAATGCATCTCTATGAGGAGAGTTCTGTGTCTCCGTGCAGAGGGTGAAGACATTGAATGTCAGTGCTGCACACTGTGCAGCACTGCCCAAGGAAGCACCTCTAGTAGCCATCTGAAGAGTGGCCAGTGGAGTTATCCCTAGGCTGTAATGTAAACACTGCATGTTATCTGTAAAGACAGTGTTAACTGATAAAAGCCTACAGGGACTGACTAGTCACCAGAACAACTGCGGCTTAATGTAGTTGTTCTGGTGGATATATAGTGTCCCTTCAATCATTTTAAAAGCTTTTCTAAAATTTTCAATAATTTGGAAAACCGATACAGTGATATGAAGTTGAGACCTAAAAGTCCACAATGTATTTTTAGGGCATATTATGTTAAATAACTATTGGAATAATAAACATATGTTCCAATAATACACAAAATGATAATTATATATAATACAATAAATATTCCATTAATAAAATATAAGTTTGTTAAATATAGCAAAATACAATAAGCATGTTTTCCATTAATGAAACAATAGGTTATTAAACATGACACAATTAAACTGAATTTGATTTAGAATTATTTTATCTGTATCGACCAAACAGAAGGAGCTCCAAAAAGAAACACTGAAAGCTCGTTTCCATGTTTGTTGGTAAAAAGTAGCCATTAGACATTGTTAATACTAATAACGAGTAATATCAACAGGCTTCCATGGACTTCCCCTACCTTTTTTTTCTGTATAATGTTTTATTCAAAAAAAACTAAATGCATACCAATGCAGCAGGCATGCCACAGCAACAATGTAAACAACATCATCAATTAACATGACTACAAAATGACAGAACACAGTACATTCGTTTTAAAGTGAGCCTGTCATGACAGATATAGGTTTGCAGTTTTCTAACCACTAATGTTATCCAGGCCACGTTAGCTCAGTGAAGTGAGCTGGGTGTTGTAATTCTGTAGGTTCAAGTCTTCAATGTAAAACATTGCATTTTTTTCTAAATGCCTTGTTTACAATGCAGGATTAAATATACCTCAGGTGACTGACATTCTTTTCATATAATTTTTATTAAAGTTATAATGTTTTACAGCAAATGATAATGAATAGAGTTGAGCGAACCCAAACTTTAAAGTTCGGGTTCATACCGAACATTAGGTTTTTTGGACCCTAGACCCGAACACAGACATATCAGTGTATGTTTGGGTTGGAGTTCAGCGATTTAATGGCACGTTTTCAAAGGCTGCAGGGCAGCCAATCAACAAGCATTTGACTTGTGTACCCTTAGAAGCCATCACAGCCATGCCTACTAATGGCATGGCTGTGATTGGCCAGTGCAGCATGTGACCCAGCCTCTATATATAAGCTGGAGTCGCGTAGCGCCGCACGCACATGAGGTCTTATTAGTGTAGGGAGAGGATGCTGCCGCTGATAGGGACAGCTTAGGAAAGAATTCTGCAAACTAGTACATTAGTGGGGTGGGGTGCACTTCATATCTGAGAGTCAAATAGAAGCTTTAAATACCGCGGTTACATCTGAGTTTTAAAAAGTAAATTTTTTTGGGTGCTAAATAGTACATTAGTGGGGTAGTACATTAGTGGGGTGCACTTTATATACTGCTGTCACATTGCAGTTTTTGCTAAATAGTATTTTAGTCTGGTGCACTTCATATCTGAGAGTCAAATAGAAGCGTCTAATAGTGTGCTTACAGCGCACTTGTAAAAATTCTAATTTTCTGGGTGCTAATATGCTAAATAGTACATTTGGGGCCTGCTCTTCAAATCTACAAGTCATGTTACAACAAAATTAAACAAATTTAAAATATGTATGGGCAAACCAGTGGCTGTAAACAACAAAGTTTTACTGGTTACATTCATGACTACACACTCTAGTGAACAGGACCTTCATGTAGGGTGTTCTTTTTTTAAAATCATAGAGCATCCTTCCATGTGCTTTTCAGATGTCATATTGTTAATTACCAATTTTTGTGTAGCCTGATTTAAAAAAAAGTGAAAAATAAGTGTTATTGTGATCGCTTCATATACAGAAGCATTAATATACGTTTCTATATTGTGTAAAGACATAACTACAAAGTTAAAAAGCAAACACCAAAACAACATACCAAACAATCTACCTGTGCATGGGTAGTGTGATACAATAAGTCTACATCTTAAAAATGCAATAACCCACAGAAGATGGGCGAGAATTTTTTTTTTGCAAATGGAACTTTAATTCGAATTTACTACATCGGTCACTTGTAATATTGTTTCACACCTACAACACTTGTTACACAGATCTAAGTGATAGAAAACAGATTTATATTTTCTACACTAGAAACTACCAGATAACAAGCTGCTATAGTTTAACCAGTGATCAATAGCTAAGAGGTACTTCAACAATATTGTAATTCTGGGGCAATACCCTCACAAGTCAAGCTGAGAGGTCAGTTTATAGGGAAAACTGTTGCCTGGAGGAAATTCTAAAGCAATTTCCATTTGTCCTTTGCAGACTTTACATGCTGGTAAAACACAGGTGCCAACTGCTGTGGCTTTCGGCAGTGTGCATACCGGCAAGGAGGGCAGGGTTAAGGAGTGGGTGGAAGATGATGTGGAGGATGATAAGGTCCTAGACCCCACATGGAATCGAGGTCATGTAAGTGATGTGTGCAGTTTGGAGGAAGAGGCGCTGGTCGCACCGAGGCACCAGCACAGCATAAGAGGGAGCAGGGTGCAAAAGCGGAGTAGCCATCCCCTAGCGTTCGTCGGCATGTATTAGCTCGAGAATTACCAGTTATCCAGGTAATACATGTAGCGTTCAAAGGATCCATAATAAACTTGAGCGAACCCGAACTGCAAAGTTCGGGTTCATACCAGATTTAACGATCCATTCGTAGTTTCACAGTGAGGTAGGCAGTCCGGTGACCAGAACCCAGACACTGTCTGGGCGGCGGTCGGACGACCAGGACCCTGATGTTGAAGTTAGGAGTCACAGTGTGGAATGGATTAGCAGGGTCTGGTGCAGGGTAACCACACACCCCCTGGTTGAGCACCAGCGTTTGTGCGGCCACATACCAGGACCCTGATGCAGCTTCAGTAAAAAGAGTACTTAATATCAGAAGCAATTACCAGACTGATCCGCAACTTGGAACAGGATGTGACATTCACTGTAGCAGCTGTGCGTGCTTTTGGCGTTTTCAACCTGTTGCTGCTTGCCTGTCTGCGCTTCACCGCCTCATGAGACTGTGCAAGCAACAGCAGGCGATAGTGGAGTTTTTAGCTGCAGCACGCATGGGTCAGTCGCACTGCACCAGACTTCCCTCCAATTGATCAGAGTTAAAGAATTTCAAGTGGACTCATTACAATTATAGGGCCTCTAAAGAGTCCTGTATTGTTATTTGTTGTTACTACCTTCCCGCGTCGGGAGTGGGTCATTTGCACGCCTGCTGCCTTCCTTGCATGTGGTAGCCGTTTCTCTGGGTCCCTGTGCAGAATGGAACCCTGATTCCCTGTTACCCGTGGTCACCATGAGAGGTGCAGAAACTGACATCGAAAGTTGATATGGATGACATCCGCTCGCAAAATCGCCTCCACGGGGATGTGCGATTTGCCCGAGGTTCTCTAGAGTCAACAAAGTTCCAGCGCAACTATAATGTCAACAGCTACTCTGCGGAACAGAGTTGTCTTTTTTTATATGTCCCAATATATATAGCAGAGGTGTCTATTTTCTGCTAAGATGGTGTCTATTTTCTAACAAACCTGTGTCTTATCTACACTCATGTCGCTTTAACCCCTGTATCACAACTCAACTTTGAATTCTATGTGTCGTCTTGCTCAGAAATGCTTCAGACTTGAGAAAGGGAGGTTCTCCCGAAAGCTTGTCATTAAAATACATTATGTTAGTCCAATAAAAAAGGTATTGCAAGATACAAATTTTATCTGTTTTTTACATCTACATCACTGGACTAATACGGCAACAATCTCTACATATATATATATATATATATATATATAAACAGTGTTGGCTACCAAATCCTCCTCCTCCACCGCTGCTTCATCCTCAACAGCCACGGTCACCGCCTCCTAGACCTATGGTTTACTTAGTATAAACTATGTACACAATAGCAGAGGCTTGTGAAGGCCTTTTCTCCATGCATCAGAAGTTGAGCATTTCTCAATGCATCAGGACTGCAAGAAATGCACCGCAGGCCGCAAATGTTTCTTTTGTTGTATGTCCCAATATTTTGTGGGTTACCACAAATAAAAAAACAAAAGAAAACCATAAAACACAGTGTTGGCTACCTCATCCTCCTCCTTCACCGCTGCTTCCACCTCCACCGCTGCTTCCACCTCCACCACCACGGTCACCACTTCCTCAACCTATGGGTCACTTAGTATAAACTATGTACACAATAGCAGAGGCTTGTGAAGGCCTTTTCTCCATGCATCAGGAGCTAAGCTCAGTTTGAACAATGAAAGAGAATACCCTGCACTCCAACCCTCTCTCAAATGGATAATTCTGGTGATCCTCCTGACAGCCATGCTTTAGATTTTGATTTATGTTCTTCCAAAGCTAAAATCAAAGATTCCATCTAGTGCTATTTTATGGCTCAGCTGTATTTTTAATTTTTATGTTATTTTAAGTGATTTCCCTATCCATATTTGTTTGCAGGGTACTTGTCCTACTCTTATCCCCATTTTACTTGCTTTTGCAGCTCTCTAACTCTTTCCAGGAGTTTTTAGAGGCATTTTTGTGGCCAAAAGTTTGGGTCCCCATTGACTTCAACATCCAGGTGTACGCTCAACTCCAACAATGAATAGCCAAACATTCAATTCGGGGTAGGAAAGTAAAGGGAAACTTGGAAATAGTAAAGATAAACACATGAAATAATGTACAGAACATTAGTTATACATTGTTTGAACGTAACAAAATATATATTCTATAAACAATAAGTTTTTTTTTAATGTCTTCTTCCCATTTGTCCCAAATATATTGAAGGTTTGCAAATAAATGTGTGTCTTTTCTATATGACCATTCATTTTCCTTATTGTCTAAAAATGTTCAAAACTTCTTTACGTGTAGCTATATTTTTGGACTTCCAATACCGAGGTAAACATGAAGCTGCGATTAGGATGTGGCCTATTATTATTCTATCGATTCTTGTAACCGGCTCTGGAAATTTCTTAAATAGTTATAGCTCTGATGTCAAGATATTGATCGCCTTGTCCACTTTAATGGTCAAATCGTGGATCATTTTCCAGTATCCAGCTAATTTAGGACAAAACTACAATATGTGTGCCATATTTCCTGTACCTCCACAATCCCTCCAACTCCGGTCCGAATATGCATTGTTCATGTTATGTAGTCTAAACGGATCCAGGTACCAACAATATAAAATCTTATAGTGGTTTTCAAAATGGTCAGTGCAGTATGAAATTCCCTTAAGTGCACTAAAAAATCCAAACCATTCTTCCAAGCTATATTGTGTACCTAACTTCGTCTCCCACGATAGCATGTGTCTCAATTTATTTAAAGTTTTAACATTATAAACTGAGTAACACAGAAAAATTATGCCTTTACTTCCTGGATCATACAGGAAAACCTTTTCCAGAGTTCAGGTGAGACTTCCTCGAGATGAAATGACCTCGCAACACAGCCTTATGTGCATTCCAAGCTACCTCACCAGGAACTTCAGATGAAACATTGTCTGAAAAATAATCATTCAAAGCCCTTTCTGCTAATTTCCTATTTTCCTCATCACTCAGCAAGTAGTTACCTAATTTCCATGTTCGATTCAGGATTGAAGCTATAATCTCATCTACATGCAACATAATTGGAGCGTGGTCCGACCAGTTGATATCCAAAATATCGGATCTCAAGATCCACGGGATTAGAGCACTCAGAACCATAAACCTGTCTTTCCGTGAATACATATCTTTTTAAACAGAATAATATATAGTATTATATAGAAATACAATGCACAAAAGATTTTTTGTGTGTTATATTTCGGCGTCCTGTGCCATCAAATCTTTGTGTCTTCTTTCTGATGGTACGTGCGTTGTATTTCAGCATCTCGTGACATCAAATCTTTGTGTATTTCGGCATCCCGTGATGTCAAGTTTTTTATTCCCTTTTTAAAAAAAATTTGTCAAAGAGAGGAAGGAGGAAACACGTATTTAAAGATGCCGATAGAGATTTGGAATGCAAGGTGCATTACACCAACCCCAAAAAGCCCAAGAATTCAGTTCATGCATTTTTCAAACTTAGAAGCCTGAACTGGCGAAATGTGTCTTGGATGCCCATTGGGTGCCCATTTACTGCAAGCATTTATAACCCACTGGGTTTTAACCTTTGATTTTTTTTATTTTATTCTTGATATAATTAATAGTTTACATTTTATATGAAAAGTGTCATCATCCTGGAATCCATCTACACACAGAAGGTGCTGGATCTCCCACAAATGATCCACAAGCACTAAGTCAAGTGCTTTATTTTGGCTCCACCTTTGTGAGTGTTCCAAGTTACCTCTTTTTTACATATACTGTTGCAATTGATCTGCACTATTGGTTTCTTTTATGTTTTTAGAATCTGCATCTACCTCATTACACATTGAATATATGTATGTATGTAATCATTTAGAATTGTGCTCTGCCCCATATTTTTGCTAGTTTTTGTTGTTTACAAGATGTGGATTAAGGTAATCCCCCACATTAGTCTTTTGAGCACATATTACTAGTACCACTGTGTACCTTATTGTATTTTTACAACCTGACTTTAGGAAACCTACTTCATCCATTGATTAAAAAGACGCTCTAAGACCCACAAAAGTACAATCATTTGGTGCCATCCAGCAGTAAACTGTCAAAATATTTACAAACTAATAACAAGTGACACTTATACGGCTGTGTTGGGCTCCTGCACTGCTTCCGATCTGAACTTATATGCGAATGCTGTAGTTCATACGCTATTCATTGACTGAGAGCAATCAGCAGATTCTCTTAGCCAATGAATAATGTTCAGCTTCGTATGAGATGATATGTGAATGCAGACATATGGCCTTCCCCTCTAGATTATAAGCTTAGACTAGAGTACAGCACCCATGAAAGATATATTAGAGTGTAATTATTCATAAACAGTTTGACATTTCACAGTGAAATGGCACCAGGGGATGCTTGACTCTTTAACCCCTTGAGGACACATGACATGTGTGACATGTCATGATTCCCTTTTATTCCAGAAGTTTGGTCCTTAAGGGGTTAAAGTGTCAATTCAACTACCATTACCACTTCTGCTTTTAAAAGTGGTCATAGTGTTAGGAGTTTGTATATGCAGTGTTTCTCTTTGAAACACTGGAAATACAGATTTTTTTTTCACTTTTGTGCCACTTGGCACGCATGACTTAGGCAGCCCTATGTTTAATATTCACTCCCTGCCTTTACCAGTTTATGTTTGTTTGTTTTTACAGTTCATGATAGAACCTAAAGAATAGTGCCCAATAGGGCATTATAATTTTTTTTTTAAATTTAGGCAAAGGATTGGAGTAACCATTTTAAGGATAACATGGCACCAACTAGATTAAGTGATGTTACAGTGACACACCTTTTATGACTACTTTGTAGTGTGTATTTCTTGCCAACAGTTCCATTTTAGTCAACAGGAAATTATATTTCTAATATCTTTAAGACAGCATATTAAAGAGTCTTCAACATTGTTGGATTAGGAACAACACTGATCAGGAACAACACTGATCAGCCACAACATTAAAACCACTGATAGGTGAAGCGAATAACATTGATCATATCGTTAAAATGGCACCTGTCAATGGGTGAGATATATTAGGCTGCAAATGAACAGTCAGCTCTTGAATTTCATGTGTTGAAAGCAGGAAAAATTGGCAAGCAAAAAGATCTGAGTGACTTTGACAAGGACCAAATAGTGATGGCTAGATGACTGGGTCAGAGCACCTCCAAAATGGCAAGTCTTGTGGTGTGTTCCCGGTGTATAGTAGTTTGTATCTACCAAACACAGTGCAAGGTACTGCTCTACCAAGGCTCATTGATGCATGTGGGGAGCCAACGCTAGCCCATGTGGTCTGATCATACAGAAGAGCTACTATTTGTGAAAAACTTAATTCTGGCCATTCTAGAAAGGGGTTAGAACACACAACACATTGAAGTTCACTGTGTATGGGGCTGCATAGCTTAGACCAGTCAGAGTGTCCATAATGACCCCTGTCCACTGTTGCTTATATGCAAAAGTCATATTCAATAATAATAAAAACATGACTATTTGCATATAAAGGAAAACTCCATAAGGAATATGTATTTTGTGGACAAATGAAAGTTAATGATTTTATATTCGTGCTGACTTTCCAGGGAATACCCATAATTTATGCCTTAAATTCTAATGTTGGCATTGGGGGATGGTACCATCAAATTGGGTAAACTATAAATGTAATCATAACTAAATTTAAAAATATAAAGTATATGTATTCAAATGTGTAACAATACTTTTTTATCAGACAGGAGATGTTGGGCACCTAGATTCTTGGATTCCTGATGAGATAAAGTACAACGGGACCATACATTTTACAGAAATATTCTTTGATCTAATGAAAACCAGTTTCAGATTTCTGGATAATACTTGTCTCCTTGTCACCTTCTGTTTTTCAATTGTTTTTAGCGTTGATTCTGATCCCTATAGTACTTTTTGAGAAGATATTTTTTTTTTTATTGATACAAATGTAAAAAATATAAGTTCTAACATATTTATATATTATATATATATATTATATATATATATATATATATATATATATATATATATATATATATATATTAGTATCTTCACATAAATCT